TCAGTGTTTTTAAATTAAATTCTTTGAAATTATATATATATATATATATATACATTCTCTTTTGTACTTTGAGTTTAGTATATCATGGTCCTATTTCTAGACATGACTTGAGGGTAAGGAATTTATGTCATTGTTTTCAATATGTGGCAATTTATATCTACCAGACAATAAAATTTCAAATCTACATTACCCAAATATAGTTAGAGCAAAACTACAAAAGAAATAAAATTGTGTTTTATTGAATATCAAGGTTGTGTTAAGCTTTTAAATAGCTCTGCTAATGACAAAAATGTGGAATGAAATAAAGAAAGATGAATTCAAGGAGTAAGGGCCAACGTTGAAATACTGGAAGACACAGTGAAAGTTATCAACTAGTGCTGTCCCAATATATAATTCTAGATAAATGAAATCTCAGAGAGTGGAAATAATTAAAGTCTTTGAGGTAGAAGTCAATTTTAGATAACTATAGACACTAAATTTTAAATGCATTATCATAGAGGTTATATTTTTTAAAAAAACAGATGACTATTCTTAATGACTATAGGACCAAAAATTAGTTTCATATTTATATATATGGGACAACAATAAATTAATATCAACCTGAGAGCAACTAAAGCACTATTGTTGAATATAAAAATATGTACATAGCCATAATATTTTTAGTGTCATGCTTCACAACTTGCTAATAAAGAAAGCACGCACACACCCCTTAAGACTATGGAGCTATTCAAATGCATAATGATCTCGAGTCCAGGAAGTAATGACCAATTATATCTTAGGGAGTAAAACATCATGCCATGGGAAGAAAATTTTAACTGTTGGAAACATATAAACAACTTGACAGTGACAATGAAGGATGAAAATCAGTTTCCACACAACCCAACTCATGCGAAAAACTAGTCCAATGTTGAAAATGACATATAAATTCCATAGTAAAATGAAAAAACTCCAACCAAATTTGGTTTAGGAAGTATATAGAAAAGCTGTTTTAGATGTTTCTCCATAGCTCATACATCATTTTAGTATACTGGGATATTAGAGAGAAACTGTGAGAGTCAAACTCTACAGACTTGAAAGCAAAGTAAGTAAATTAACTCATTAACAGAACCAAACCAGTAAAATACAAAGCTGGTAGCCCACAGCTGAGGAGCCAACCAGCACAGCCATATGGATGGTAGGGCTGCTTCCTGCCATCCACATTGATGCACTCAGTTTCTATAGAGTCAGTCAGGAGGGGACATGAGCAAACAAGGAGAGACATGGGGCACTTCTTGATCAACTGATAGAAATTTCCTCAGTAAACACTACAGATTTTGGGTTAACACAATATTCATATTCTGATCACCTTAAATAGAACTAAATAGTGCAGAAATTATGAGATATGTTTCATTTTACTCCCCAGTATATTCTACAACACCCTGTCTGATTCAGATTTTTTTATTTACAAGGAAGGTTATGAAGACAGGTATTTTCTTACAGGTATTCTTTCCTATGATTTGATAGAGAGATGGAGAGACGATCAAATCATAGGAAAGAATACCTGTGAGAAAATTGGAGCATCCCAGGTTTACAAGAAAAACTGAGTTAAAGAAGTATTTGGAGGATTTAAGTTTGCCACAAGGAGGATTCTCCTGACATAGTGAGTTGTTGAACGTTGTAATGGTTTGCTGAGGCTGTAGGAACTCCAGTCCTGAGAATCTTTATAAACAGGAAAGATTCAGACCTGCTGCTCTGGGTTACCTATGGGCTATATTTTTTATTCAATTGGAACTCTCCAAGTCCCTTTCTAGCCTCTTGAGTTTAATTGTAACTGCTATATATATTTTTAAAGTATAAAATATATACAGTGTTTTCTATATAACATTTCTGGTTCAATACCATTTAGCTGGAGGTATTACAACACACATTTTTTCAGTACATAAAAATGCAAGGGAATAGTGTCATAGGGATCTTAGTGATAAATCTGAATATGTGTACTTTCTGTTTTAGATTACTCACATAAATCACATGTTGTTTAATCGAAGATATTTGTAATGTATTGCACTTTAACAATTCATACCAATGAAGCATTAAACTGTGATGGAAAGTGAGAAATATAAAAAACTCAAATTAAGCCCTTCTGTATGCCATACAAACTGAAAATACTGCCTTTAAACAAAAATGGAAAAGTTGTTCATTAAGTTTGAGTTCTTGGTCACTTAGTAGTAGTCTAAAAACTAATTATATACACTCTGTGTATAATATTATATATGGAAAACACACATACATACATACATTTTCCTAAACACATTTGAAAGTGAAAAATAATTTATAGTACCAAAGAATGAACTAATAAATATATTTAAGTCTTTGATTCTGGACAACTGTATTTTATCAAAAGTATTTAGATACATCAGATAGTAACTAGATGGAATAAAACGCACTTAAATTGTACATTAAAGTTATCAGTATGTAATAAAATAAACAACCTAATTGGACTTCCACAAAGGAATTCATTTCCTTTCCTAAAGAATCTACTTAAGCCTTGGATTTAACAACATTTTAAAAGCCAACACCTTTTCCTTTTGCCAATATGTGAGTTTATTGTCTTATAAAATAAGAGCATCATTATCAAACTAATCTGAGCCGATGACTCCACAAAAGCACAATATAAAGTGCCAGTCAAACTTTCTACACTACCCAAATCAGCAGATTCCTAAGCAGACTGGGCCCCGGGGTGCTACCTTCACAGCCTTGCAGTTAACTGCCTTCAGTAAATATTTGCATGCACAGCACTCTAGACCTAAATGACTGAGCTGACAATAAACATGCAAACACACATCCCTCTCTGTGTAATTGTCAGTAAATTGTGTTCACAGACACAAGATAACTAAGAATAAGGCTTTTGCTGTCGAAGTCTCCTGACTGTATCAGTCAGGACAGTATTTCTCAGTATCTTTATGTTTGTGTTGGTTTTGAAAGTATGTAAGTGTATGCGCGCGTGTGCACACATTACCGGAGACGGAGATCCATTCTTGCAGAGGGGCCCTCTGAAGACTCCTTTAATGCCCCGGTAATGCCCATTGCTGAGATGTCTGGAACTGATGACCAGGTAACAAGCCATGTGCGTCCGGGCAGAAGGTGCAGTCCCAACTCCTCACCAGGCGACCAGCCTGAAAATGCGAACTGATTTCTCAGCAGCCACAATCACTGCCACCTCTGAAGAAAAAGCAGCCGGCAGCAAGCGGAGACGCAGCTCCCAGCCCCCTGCTCCTCGCCCACCGCGGGTCTCTGGATGTCCACAGCGGTCGCTCCGACTGAGGCGGCAGGGGCAGCCACAGAACACTTAGGGGACCTGTCGAGCCAGTCCACATGCTGCTCTGCCGAGGTGGCGCTCAACCGCGGGCTGGAGATGTGTTTTAAAGGACAACTTCCTGGGTCCACCAGGGAATTGGGGCCCCCCGCCCCTTTCCTCCCGCCCCTTGCCGCCTCTAGAGGTGCCGGCGGAGTGGGGTGGAGCTGCTCAGGAGCGGGTCCCCATCCTCGGCTGGGCGTCCCCAGGCTGAGCTGAGGGCTGCGGCGGGGATCCAGCGGCTGCAGCCAGTGCGCGGAGTGCGGCACTGGTCCTCGGCTCGCGGAGCACGGTCCCTGCTGCAGTGGCCGGGAGAGGGCGAGCGCTGGGAATTAGGGATGCGGCGACTAGTGCGCGGGAACAGTAAGCGCCCGGCTAGGAGCTAAGGGCTCTGGAGGACCCGGGTACCCGAGGCGGAGAGACCGAAGGTGACAGCTGCCGCGGCCGCCACAGGGCTGCGCGACCCGCCGCTCCGCCTCCCGGAATAGGCAGCACCAGCCCCGAGGTCCTTCTGCCCCGTTTCTGAGCCAACTTTCAACAGGATTTGCGGGCGGCAGTGGGGATGACTGGAGAGGACCAAGGTGGAGAAGAAGGGCAGGAAAAGACTGATTCCTTTAGTCGAGTCTGGCTGCCTGCTCACCTTCAGAGCTTCTTCTAATCGCAGAATGAACAACTCCCCAGTAGACTGTAAGGGTGAGCGGGTCAGCCCCTCAAGGAGCTGACAGATGATGAGCTATGGTGGACAATGCATAGCGGAGGAAGGAACTTTAAGTGGAAAACTTATAGAAGGTGTAGACTCCAATACACAGTTTTATGTGCATATGTATGTATGCACACATCTAGTAACAAAGGTTCACTTATGTTTTGATTGGTAGAAGACCGTTGTATTTTCCCAATAGTCCCTAATAATCACTCTCTTCTGAAGATCTGTCCGGTTGGCTGTAAATTGAACCACCAGGGAGCGAAACGTACTGAAATAAAAGACCTGCGCAAAAATGTGCACTACAAAAGCGAGAAGTATCCTTCCAGAACAGGGGAAGAGGCAAAAGCCCTCTCCTGCGCCCCAGGCTGGCCCAGTGGAAGTCTGCAATCCCATCCTGGCCCACCTCAGTGCTCTGCACAGGGCATCAAAGCAGGCTAGCCTCCTTCCAATTTTGCTCTAGCCCTGGATCCATTTTAAGGTTACTGCTCATCAAGCCCCTAGCCCTATCTCGAGATTTCTACCCCCCAAAATATGCAGTCACACCCTGGGTATCACTTAGGGCTTTCCACACAGGCCAAAAAAAAAATGAAAGTGATAATTTAAATTTTTCAATTAAGGCTATTTACAAATGGGGGGGGCGTTATTTTAACTTTTGTAACTACCCAATCGAACCATGACTTTTTGTTTACATTATTAAGTGATTTAATATCCTTAATGGTTTCTTGGTTAACTCTTAGATGTATTTTTCAATTTAAATAAAGCCTTAGATAATTTTTTGAAAAGGTTTTGTGAGCTACTGAGTAAACAGTTTTTAAAAAACGGGAAAATTCCATTTCCTTGCAAACCTTTGAACTAAAAATGACTGAAACCGAGACAGTACAATGTAAGCCTTCTAGGAATTGTTCAGTTAGCTTTTAACTACCATGGAAAGAACTTTGGAAAAATATTTACAGAGCAGAGACAAAAGATCCAACATAGACATCCATCTTCCCCATTCTAATGATAGTTAACATCACACAAACAGCATAACACCATAATGTTTATTCAACTTAGAGCTATAAAATGTTTTATGAAGCTTAGAGAAAGTAATTTTACTTATGTAAAGACATTAGATACATTTTATACCAAAACAATGCATCTGAAATACTGAAACTATAAAAACAGGAGAAAGCTTTAACAAAAACCGAGAGATTTTCAAAGGAGATAGTATGACTTAGTTTGCAACTATGGCTTTACTCTTAATAAATGGAAATTGCAAACAGCCCAGAGGACCAAGACATAAGCATCCTAGAATGAAGTAGAAAAGCAAGTGGAATCAGTGTTTGTTTATAATATTCCATGGTTTCAAGTTCTTATTTATTAAAGAAATATACTTTCTGATAATAGTGATTTTTATGAATCAAACATTTTCTAAAAGTACTAGAGAGTTATAAGTAAATGTAAAATTTAAATCCACCATCTTACTATATTATACTTCCTTCAAAGTGCTTGCTATCTCCCCCGGGGATTCTTGTTCATTAGAACATTATCTTATCTTGCTTTTAATAGTAGTATCTCAAAGACTAGAGTTATTTTTGCTAAATTTCTCACAACTTTTTAAAGTTTTGAGGTTTATCCTCTTTGGAAATGAATGGTGAAGATTTGCTGTATTTTAAGTCAGTTATATCTGGGTTTTGTCCCTTGTGCTTTGAATGTTTCTCCACCTATCTTAAAATATTGAGATAAAAGTTGGCACATTTGTTACACTTGGTCAATTTGAAGAATACTTTTAAAAACAGTAAAAGAAAGAAGCACTCTCAGATTGTGATGGATACCTAGCAAAATGGTGTCATATTTAATAGTTTTTACCAGTGCTGCCCTGCATTTCAGACATGGTTCACCAAATCCAAATAACACAAAGATGTTTATTTTTATTCACCACATTGTTCAGTTGTGTTAAATTCTTTACTTACAAAAGAAGGTAGTCTAGTAATTAGAAATTTGGAAGATGAAATGGAAGTAGAATACTTTATGCCTATGCTAAGAGAGGTTTAGTCCTGAATCAAATCCCATTACAATAAGCACAGTAAAAAGCAAATATCATGCACAATTTTATAATACCCACTTAAAATTTTAAGCAATGTTTGATCTGATGAGTTTTCACTCCATGGAAAAGGATATGAACAGCAAGGAACATGGACTTCAGTTTGCAATCAGTTTGATAAGCCCGTTTTTTAGATGATTGGCAGAGCAGGAAACTCTCCCTAACATTATCCTCATCAACATATACCCCATATATCTAAATCCTCTGACCCCACTTTAGCCCAAACTATTATTGTTTCTTTCTTAAACCAGTACAATTTCTGCCTCATTCATTAGTATCCCTAATTCTAATGCCGTTTTCACGTGCAATTTATTCTCTAACACCCAAGAACCAGAGTGACAATTTTACAAACTCTGATGATATCCTAGAACTTCCTGATTAAACCATGTAACTATTCATATTCCCTTCAAAATAGCCCAACTATTCTGTACTGATTGAAAGCAGCAACAAAAATGCCCTGCTGGACCTAGCCCTTGCATGCATTCCCCTGCATTCCTCCCCAGCTCACCCTCACCCTTGTTCCTCCTGGTATTCCTTGAACACAGTCTGCAGCTTTCTACTTCCCACTTACTGTGGCAGCTGCTCATTCTACTAGAAACTCTCCCACCTGCACTTTGCAAGGAAAGCATCTTCTCCTTTGGATCAGAATGAAAGATTATTGACTCTTCCTGGCCACAAGTTAAGGGATCTAATTGGGATGGGGAAAGCTTTTAAAATATTTTAAGTAAATTAATAAATGTTCTTTTTTTCAGAGGAGTTTTAAATGTGCATGAAAACTGAACAGAAATTCCATACTTCCCATATGCCCTCTTAAAACCCTTAAGAGTCTCTCTCAATACTAGCTTTTACATTAGTGCAGTGCATTTGTCACAATTAGTAAGTCAGTGTTGAATGTTACCTAAATTCATGGTTTGCATTAGGATTCATTCTTTGTGCCATGCACTGTACTCCCCAGTATCAGACAGAAGCGTTTCAGCGCTCTAATAGTCTCTTGTGTTCCACCTACTCATTCCCCACTTCATCTCTCTGAATCACATACAGCCATTTATCCTTTAGCTCTAATATTGGCTTTTCAAGAATGTCATACAACTAGAATCATACATTATGCAGCTTCTTCAGAATTTTTTACTATATATTGTGTATTTCAGTTCTCTCTATGCCTTTTAATGGCTTAATATCACATTTATTTTTATTGATGAGTAATACTCCTCTTCATTATGGTTTAAATTGCTCCTTCCCTCAAAACATGGTGAAGTCCCAATCCCCTTGAATGCTACTTTGTTTGGAAATAGGGTCTCCACAGGGGAACAAGTTAGTTGATCATTATGGCATAACTTATATGACCATGTTCTAAGAAGGTAAAAAATTGGATGCAGAGACACAGACACAGGGAGAAAAATCACTACATGGAGACTGCTGTTACTGTGCCATACTGCAGAGAATGCCAAAGATTGCTAGCAAATCGCCAGAAGCTAGGAAAGAGACATCAGCAGATTTTCCCTCTTAGACCTCAGAAAGAACTACCAAGACCTTGATTTCAGACTCCCAGTCTCCAGAATGTTGTGAAATCAATTTCTGTTATTGACACCACTCATTTTGTGACACTCTGTTATGGCATCCCCTTGGAAACTAATTCGCATTGCATGAAAGTACGAAAGTTTGCTTGCTTATTAATATATTGAATGACATCTTGGGTGCTTCCAATGTTTGACACCATGAATAAATCTGATATAAACATTCATGTTTGGACATAAGTTTTCCAAATCTTTTAACTACAAACTAAGAAAAACAATTTTTGGATCTGATGTTGTTTTGTAAGAAGCTTCCAGTCTGTCTTCCAATGTAGCTTTTGACTTTGTGCTCACCCAGAATAATGTTTCTTTGGCTCCATACTTTCACCAATATTTATTATTAATATTTTTATTTTTAACCATCTTAATGCCGTGTGTTGGTATCTCATTGTGTTATGCCATAATTCCCTAGTGACTTCGAATATCACACATCTTTTCATATTCTTATTTGCCATCTATGTTTCTTCTTTGCTGTGGGGTCTGTTGTTACCATTAGGCAATTTTTAAAATTAGGTTGCTTGATCCTTTACTGTTGGTTTTAAGAGGTGTTTGTGTATTTTAGATATTGGTCATTTATCAGACATGTGCTTTGCAAATACTGTTGTCCTCTTCTATGGCCTACATGTCTATTTCTTAGCTGTGTCTATCTTATCATATTTTATTATTATTATTATTATTATTATTATTATTTTATGTGTATGAGTGTATTGCCTGCATGTATGTAAGTACACCCATATCATGCAATAACCATGGCTGTTAGAAGAGGGTGTTGGATTCCCTGGAACAACAGTTAAGGACAGTTGTCAGCCACCATGTGGGTGATGGGAACTGAACCCTGGTCCTCTGAAAGAGCAGACAGCACTCTTAACCACTGAGTCATCTCTCCAGTACATACTGTTATCCACAAACTCTAAATCACCTGGATTTTCTTCCATATCACCTTGGAGTTTTACAATTTTTGCACTTTAAAGCTAAATCTATGCTCTGTTTTGAGTTAATTGTTATGAAAAGTATAAGGTCTATGTTTTTGACACATTTTAGGAGATTCAAATATCCATTTACTCTAACATCTTTAACTAAAATAGCTGTCATTTCTCCATTTAACTGTTTTTATTCTCTGTCAGTATTGACAATAATTATGTGAGATATTTCTGGATTCCTGGTTTGTTCTCTTGATCTGTCTATTCTTCCATCAACATCACACTATCTTATGCAACATAAGAACCTATTCATCACCTTAATGTTTTTTTAATATTTC